ACTGGAACATAATCAACAAAAGAAAAAAGCAAACAAAATATAACAAGAGTCATTGAAAATAAGAATAATCTAACAATAGCCAGAGAGGAGGGGGAGGGGACAGTGGGGAGAAGGGTTTTCAGGAACTACTATAAAGGACACATGGACAAAACCAAGGGGGAGGGTGGAAGCAAGGGAGGGAGGAAGGTTTGGGGGAGGTTGAGGGGCAGGTGTGGGGAGAAAATGCAGACAATTGTAATTGAACAACAATAAAATAATGAAAAAAATAAATTGTTATGTCTGTTGTATTGAACAGTGGGAGACATAGATATTATTCTTCTATTAAACTAAAAAGTAATACCTGCTTTTTGTAACAAATCCAATAAATTCAGAATAGTTTACAGTAAAATTGTGTCCCATCTCAATTCCACTCTCCACATATAACTACTGTTCACCACCAGACATGCATCATCCGGCCTTCAGTCTGTGTTTACACCTTTAATCATGCTCCAGCTTCTCTTTCTGTGCACCCTTTGTAAGCTTACCCTTCTCCATCCAGTCGTTAAAGGTTGGGATGCTATGTGACTTGGTTCTAGAATGCTTTTCTTCTCACTCAACATTGTGTTTCTTTGTGATTCATCTATATCCTTGTTCCAATTGCCATTTCCATTCAGATGAGTCGTAAATTGATTTTCCTAGTCCAGATCTCTAGTCTGAGCGTCAAATCGGTAACTCAGACTGTCTATTGACATCCCCTTTTGGATATCCAAAAAGCACTCCGAGCCCAGCATGCCAAGCCAGAATAATGAGTTCCCCTTCCAACGATTTCCAGATTTCACATCTCAGTGAATGAAACCACTATATATTGAGTTATGCTCGCTAGAAGCATATTGATTCCCTTTCTTCTTCGCCTCCTACATCGAATGAATCACCAAGTTGTATGGCTTTTTCCTCGTGAGTCTTCCCACTCCTTCCTTTTCTACCTCTAGGCTCTCATGATCTCCTCCCATGGATTTTCTGCTTCCAGTCTCATTGCTCTTGAATTAATGTTTTACTCTGTAACCAGAGACATCTTTACAAAGTACAAATTTGGTCATGTCACTGGCCTGCTTAAAGTATTTCAATTGTTTAATTGCTTTTATGGTAAATACCTAAATCCTTAACACGAATTATCACAGCGCTTGTCATATAGTTGGCACTCACATATTTGTGGAAGAATGCATAAATAAACTTAAGTAGGTTACAGTATTTGTTAGTAAAATAGTTTTGCCACGTACCTATATTTCTGTATGTGTCCTCCTTTACTCCTGTTAATATTTCCTTTAGATATATTTCTAGAAGTGGGGTTGCTAGTATAGTTCAGTTTTCATGTACTAAATATCAAGGTTGATAGAGCAGCTGGTATAGTGTCGTGTAGCTATGAAGAGCAAAGGAGGAGTCTGGTCCAGGAAGATAAGTGGTGATTTATAAAGGACGCCATCCTGTACCTTCTGTCTGATGGAGGGGGATTTTATCCTTAAAGAATTGTCCAATGACTTAAGGATTTTTGTTTTGAGGTTTTATGCCAAATAACTTTAGATTATATATTTCGCAAGACAGAGCAAGGGCAAAATGAGTCAAAATTTTACATTCATAACAGATGTGACATGCCTATTTTTATTTTGCTAATTTTCTTATTAATGACAATGACGGAAATTGGGTAATCTAAAGAAAACAATAGTTTGAAATGGGGCGGTGACATGAATTGCTAATAAAAGTAATGTGTGATTTATGTTTCATAGAAGTAAAGTGTAGTTGCTACTGGGTAGATAGTGTTTTCAGGGACATATTCTTCCATTTCTGCCACTTTTGCTCCACTCCCTGGAAAGAGGATGGTTTGTGAGATGTTTGTGAGAAAGGCAAAAACAGCACGAAGGTATCAGATTTTGGAAAGGTGGGGACTAGGGGTATTAGGTTAGGTTACCACCATCTCTGCACTTACTAGTTCTATAACCTTGGACAAACTAGTTAATCTCTGTGATTCTTAGTTTCCCCATCTGAACATGATACTAACTACTGATTTACACAGCCAACTACACTGGATGTGGTCACTTTTTTATTATTTAATAATATATTCATTTTAAAAATGTGTTTATTTTTGACCTGAAACAGAAATACTTTATATCTGATTTTACTTTATTTATTTTTAGTTAATTTTATTTTTTACTTTAGAACAATTGTATCTGATTGTTTATGCTATTAACAGTTGTCACAAAATTTCCTCCTTTGTCCCCCTCCATCCAGCCCTCCCACTCCCTCAGGAAATCCTCACATCCTTGTCCACGGCCATGGGTCCTGCATACATGTTCTTTGCCTGCTCTCTTCTATATGCTGTACTTTATATCCCCACTATCAATTTGTGCTTCTTAATTCCTTCACCTTTTTACTCAACCCCACCCATATGGCTACCATTAAAATGTTCTCTGTATCTGTGATTCTGTTTCTGTTCTGCTTGTTTATTTAATTTATTTTTAGTTTCAGTTGTTGATAGATATGTATTTATTGCCATTTTCTGTTCATATGTTTATCTTTTTCTTCTTTTGCTTAAAGAAGACCCTTTAACATTTTATTTACTACTGGCATGGTGATGATGAACTCTGTTAGCTTTTTCTTGTCTAGGTAACCCTTTATCTGTCCTTAGATTCTAAATGATATTTTACTGGGAAGAGTGTTCTTGGTTGTAGGTCCTTGTTTTTCATCACTATGAATATTTCTTGCCAATCCCTTCTAGCCTATAAAGTTTCTTTTGAGAAATCAGCTATCTTATGGAGGCTCCCTTGTATGTTTTTAAGATTCTCTCTTTGTATTTAACCTTTGACATTTAATTATGATGTGTCTTGGAGTGGGCCTCTTTGGGTCCATTTTGTTTGGTACTGTCTGTGCTTCCTGGACTTGTATGTTTATTTCCTTCACCAAATTAGGGAAGTTTTCTTTCATTATTTTTTCAGATAGGTTTCCAATTTTTTGCTCTTCCTCTTATCCTTCTGGCCCCCCTATGATGTGAATGTTGGTATGCTTGAAGTTGTCCCAGAGGCTCATAACACTATCCTCAATTTTTTTTTAAATTCATTTTTTTTCTTGCTGTTCTGATTGGTCGTTTTTTTTGCTTCCTTATGTTCCAAATTGCTGATTTGATTCTTGGCTTCATCCACTCTACTGTTGATACCTTGTAAATTGTTATTTATTTCAATTAGTGTACTCTTAATTTCTGACTGGATCTTTTTTATGCTGTTGAAGTCCTCACTAAGTTCCTTGAGAATCCTTATAACCAGTATTTTGAACTCTACATTTGATAGATTGCTTTTCTTCATTTTGTTTAGTTCTTTCTCTAGAGTTTTGATCTGCTCTTTCATTTGGGCTGTGTTCCTTTGTCTCCTCATTTTGGCAGCCTCCTTGTGTTTTTTATGTACTAGGTAGAGCTATTACTTCTCCCAGGCTTGATAGAGTGGCTTAATATAACATGTGTCCTGAAGGCCCAGTGCCACAGCCTCCCCTAGTGTGCATACCTTAAGTGACCCAAGCTGGACACTTAAGGTATGCACACTGTATGGACTGTGTGCATGTCCTCTTGTAGTTGAGCCTTGATTGCTTTTGGCATGTCTAAGGTCAGCCACTGCCTGTGTTCTGTTTGGGATCACAAAGCATTAGCTACAAAGCAATCTGCAGACAGCTGCTACTTTGTGCTGGGCTTGGAGGTGCCTGGGGAGGCCAAGCTGTGAACCAAGGCTGGCTGCTGTAGTGCTGGGCCTGGGGTAACTGAGGAAGAGTTATGGGCCTTGCTGAAGCCAGATCCAGCCTGTTTGAGAGAATTTAGGAGAATTGGAAGCATGGGCCAAGGCAAGTCATTCAGATGGAAAAGCCACTGGAAACAGCTTGTGTGAACCTGATAGTTGGGTGGGGCAGGGCCACAAGGAATCACCAGGATGGAGCAAACAGTGTAGCCAGGTCAATGGAGTCTCATATATGGCTCCCACCTGCTGGGTCTGTACAGGGAGGGCTCAGAAAAGGAATAGAAGTCATTGCCAGCATTTCTGTCTGGGAGAAAGCTGCCCCCCGCAGCTCTTGCCCTGATGCCAGACAATTCCATTCCTCCCCATGTATTTCTGATGCTTTTCAATCTGGTGCATGGCATTGGAGCTCAGAGGGAGTGAGTCTGAGTAAGTCTGTGCATTGGCCCTTCAAGAGGAACTGCTTCAGATTCCAGCAGTTTCTGTCTTCCCAGACTCAATCCCTGCTGGTTTTTACAGCCAGAAGTTATAGAGACTTATGTTTCTGGCACTGGAACCCAAAGCTGTAGGGGCTGGTGTGGGGCTGGGACCCCTTGCTTCTGAGATATCCCTCCTGACTTTTATCCACCATGTGTGGGTGTGTAACCAGGCTGTTCTGAGTCTCCAACCCTCCTACCAGTCTCCATGTGGTTTCTTCTTTAATTCTGTAGTTGTAGGACTTCTATTCAACTCAATTTCCAGCGGTTCTGAATGATAGATGTTCTTTAGTTTAGTTGTAATTTTGATGTGGTTGTGTGAGGAGATGAGACGTGCTTACCTACACTGACATCTTGACTGGAAGACCTATTGGTGATTTTAATCATGAATTTATACACCAGAAAATTAAAAGTATGTAAGACAGGAATGGTGATTGCTTTAAGAAATGTTTTCAGCAATTTATCAGGCTGTAAAATAATTTACAAAAGCTCTTAAGGCATTGAGAAGTACCATGAAATTACGAAAGAGTTAATATGCTTTTGGAAATGTCCAGGTGCTCAAAAGAACACAGAGCTCTATGACATTCATAACTACCATTTTACAAATTTCTACTGTTTTCCCCTCACTCTCATCTATTTTTTTAAAATATTGAAGTAGTTAGATTATGCAGTTTTATATTTATTTTCATCTTACTATTAATTGTGTGTCAGCAACTTTGTGGCTGTTTAAGGAAAACTTTTATTTAATTGCTCTGTTTCTCATTTCTTCTTGTTCCAGGCAATGGGCCTCACCATGACCGCTGCTGCACTTATAATGAAAACAACTTGGTGGATGGTGTTTATTGTCTCCCAATAGGACACTGGATCGAGGCCACTGGGCACACCAATGAGATGAAGCACACAACAGACTTCTATTTTAATATTGCAGGTCACCAAGCCATGCATTACTCAAGGTAAAAATAGTGCCATGTTTATAAACATAGAAATAGGACAAGAGGTAGCATTAGGACAATGGGGATATTTACTGCACTTAAAATTGCCGTGTCTCCCTTCAGAGGGGTCCACAGTCCTGCAGTTCTTTGAGGGGACAAATTACCATGAATCACTGTGTGACCTTTTGCAGTTCTAGACGTGAAGGATCCTTTTAATGAGTTTTTTCATTAAGTTCATACCCTGGTATCCACATTTTTTGACCAGACAGCAGTTAAACAATTTTTGTACTGAGTTAATTAAAAATAAAAACTGGGTGAAAATATCACCTAGATCAGTATTTGTATCTTTTATGCTTCTGACCAAACAAAAATGGGTGTCTCCTTATAAAATCTCATTCAGATAAACATGGGTGAAAATCTAGACATAAAACTAGATTGGATGTGATCATTTGCTCTATCATATATTAACATATTCACTTTTATATATTTGTTTATTTAATGATTATAGCAGCAATATATGCCTTATTAAACATTCAAACACAAGGGGATGCTAAATGAAAAGGAAGGCTTACTGCACTTTCCTGTATTCCCACTCATCGGAAATAGCTATATTTACTCATTTACCATTAGTTTCTCTGGAGGTTAAATTCAAGTCTTAAATAATGTGCATGTACTGTATTTGTTAGTGTACCAATTTAAAAATAGCTATTGATTCTCTCTATGACGTGAGAAAAATTTAGCTCTCATATACTTGTTCTTTTGTCCCATTCCCAGTCCCTACCAGACTCATTTAAAAATATTTCTTTTGTTACTTAAGTTCATAAACATTCTGTTTCTCAACCCATAAATTTTTGACAGTGCCTCTTGGTTTTCTACTGTGTAAGATCCGAAATGTATTGCTCTTCTATATTTCTCCACATCTATTTTCACCAATGAACTCCTGTTTTTAGTTACTTCTACATTTCCAGGTTTCTAGAATTTACATTTAATTTAGTAAATATAAATGAGTATTTCACATTTTGATGATTTCAATTTTCAAACCAATATCCAACATATAGAATACTATGTATATGTTACTTAGGGTAGAACATGTAGTGTTTGTACCATAGACAAAGAGATGCATTCTCATGTTCTTGAACATTATATTGCTTTGAATGAGAGAGAGAATTAATACTAACAGAGTGATGACGGATAGGAGAGAAAGAGTATTCGACTTCATCATAGTGTTAGGGAATCAATGATCTTCCTGGATGCATCTTTTTTTACAAATTAATGCTAGATCTTGGTCTTGCAGATGGATAGGATGCAGATCCTGAGTGACTGAGTAGTTAAGAATGACTCATAGTTTTGTGGTCTGAGCAACTGGATTAATCGTGTTGCTGTTTGCTGAGATGGAGAAGACTAGGAGATGAGTAATTTAGAATAGGGTTTGAGATAAAATTTCTATTTCAGATATTACCTTTTGAAATGTATGTTATATTGCAGAAAGGAAATCAATTTGATGTGTGAAGCTTTGGGGAGAGGCTGGAAATGGAGAGATAAAATAGGTGACATTCAAAGTGATGAGAGAAGATAAGATCATTTAGCAACGGAGTGTAATATAGAAAAGAAGTGAGAATAGAGGCTCTTGGGGCCACAACATTTAGAGATGAAGGAGAAGGGGATGCAGAGGAAAGATTGGGAAGGAGCACCCTTTGAGATGTGTGGACATCTAATGAGGATGTGTTTATGAGTTATTTTTTATTTATCTTGAACTACATTTGCTGAATCCTTTTATCTGAAAAGTCATGTTTTAGGGTCTAGGGATTTTCTTCTATTTGATTATTTCTCCCTTTTATTGTCTTTATTCTGTCAATAAAGACACTCCTGAGATGAATGTTGGAGTTTATGGATTTATATAATATTCTGGACTTCTAAAAAAATTTCACCGTCTGGTTTTATTACTTTACATTTTTTTCCAACTCAACTATTTTTTAAAAAATTTTATAATTAAATTCCTAATTTGTATGGACTCTGACTTATTCTGTTATTCTCCTCTTGCATATTAGTTTGTTTCAGCTTATGAATGAATATATTCTTTAATCTGTTTAGAATAGCATTGAAAATGATCTAAAAGTTCTCATCTCTTACTGGATCTACCTCATCAGTAGTTTTCTCTTCATTTGATCTTTTTCTTTTGTGTTGTTAGTTTTTCAAATAGCTGGTTATACCGAGTTGTTCATGTTCATTGTATAAAAGAGTAGGTGGAGTGTTAAACGTGGCTGGCATTGCCATTACTAGCCTCTTACCTGTGAGAATGTTGGTGTAAGGGGGTGCCTGTGGACAATGGGTCATGCCTCCCTGTATAGACAGGAAACAGTCAGCCTGGGCGCCGTGCCACCCCGCCCCGGATGGTAAGAGGAGGGACCTGTGTGGGGCACGCCTGTCACTTTGACAGCCTCTGTTCCTAAAGTAGATGTTTTCAAGGAAGGTATTTCTTCAGCTTCACAGTCAGTATCATAGCTGTATGTGAGGTCTGGATCATAGTTCATGTTCTCAACTAGGCAAAAAAAAAGGTTACATCTCTTTATTTTGTTTAAAGCAACTTAGTTTTATATCAAGTCTCTATCCCACTGATTTATTAGGTAATTCAACCTGCTATTATTCTCCTTGAGGATGTAATTATATATTTAATATACAATAAATATATAAGTATGTGTCTATGTGAATTATATATTATGAATATATTATATACCAAGTGTAAATATACATAATCATAATATATAATATGTAATATAGAATATAGTATTTAATATATACTAAATAGCATATATGTATAATATAAATCTATGTCATAGATGTATATGCAATATATAATACACACACATGCATATATGTGGGACAGAATCTCAGACACATCACGGTTTTGGAGTTAACGGTACTATTTGTTCCTCTATTTATTTGTCTCTACAGCAGAGATAACTGTGGACTCTGTGATAAATAACAATTGTGTACAGTGGACCTGGAGCCCTATCTTTGCTTTGAAGGAGCCCCATTAAAGCTCCAGTGCTCCTCACAGTTCTGAGTCCCCAACTGAAAGTCAATTGGGTGGTGTAATTTATTTTTTAAGATAAAAATCAATTGAATGATGGATTTTTTAAAAAAAATTCAGATTTGTGGGCCTCACTAAGTAGTCCAGGAATCTTTATTTTCCATCCTGTTCGTGTGATTCTAATGGGCATAAATGTTTGAGAACTTCTGTGATTAGTCCATAAATACAGTAATTTAGAATAAAAAAGGGGGAGATTTTCGAGTACTTCCAGTCATTTCCATCTAACTCCCCTTAGAAATCCCAGCCACAATTCATCCTCACTTGAAACTGGGCAAGATAACACTGCGAATTCAGTTCAAAAGAGCTGAGAAGACATTCGTATGTGTTATTATTGAACTGAAAACATATAATTGTTATCTGCTTGCCATTTTCATTTGGTCCTGTATAAAGCTAAAATAATGTGCGAACTTACCTTAGCTGCTGAAACACACACACACACACACACACACACACACACACACACACACACACACACCCCTCACACACCCCCAGAGAATAGGTTATCTGCATTTGAGTGCCCGTGTTGACAGAGACACTCAAACTCACCTAAGAGTTTGCAGTCCCACACTTGCACCCTGTAGTCAGAACATGGGGACGGAATTATGCCTGTGGGGTTTTTTTGTGTGTGGTTTTATTGTGTGGGTTGCATCGTGTAGCCCCTGTGTTCAGTGCTGAGTAACGAGAGGCGGGGAGACAGTGATCCCCGCTCTCAGGAACTCATGTTCTCGGGGAAGACAATTGCGTAAACAGCTGCAATAGACTGAGATCATTGTTACAGTGACGTTGTATGTGAGTGTTTGAGGCACAGGGGGAAAAGGCTTTAGTTCAAGGACATTTTTATGAATAGAACTTGTGCAGAAATGTGCAGGGTTCTTTGCTCCAGAAGGACATTTGGGAGAGGAAAGTCAAGATAAGGAGACTAACAAGGGCAAGTGCATGGAGGCATGAGAGGCAATATTAAAGTGACCAAATAGTTTTGTCCAATGAGGATGATTTTGAGAGTAAGAAAAGGTATTTTTAATAGTTTATTTTTCATTGTAGTTTTTCCATTACCATTTACCTTCCAACCCCTCGCTCCCCTGCATTCTTCACAGTATCCTCTCCTTGAGTATTTTTCTGTTTTTGTTCGATCCCTCCACCCCCTCCTCACCCCAGAGCTGCCTGCCTGCTCTCTATCAGTCCGTCTCTTATTTTGCTTGTTAGTTCAGTTTGTTCATTAGATTCCACAGGTAAGTGAAAGTATATGGGATTTGTCTTTCTCTGACTGGTTTATTTCACTTAGCATAATGTTCTCCAGGTCCAACCATGCTGTTGCAAAGGGTAAAATATTGAGAGTGAAAAGAGGTGTTTTTAATAATTAGCCTGTACAACAGGTATAATATGACTATAGCAGTACTTCTTGGTTTTAGTTTTAGGTATTATCTATTTATTTCACACAAGGAAATATGATGATTTACCTTTTTTCCCCTCTTCCCCCAAAAAATCTCAGTTACATTTTTTCTATTGTTTGATCCTCCCAATTTAGTTACCCCACAATTTTGAGAAGATCAGTGTTTTGCTTGTTTGTTCGTACACCCATGTAAATGCTATTTAACACACCTAAACTGGCCACAGATGGCCACGCCTTTGAAGACTGTACAGCTGTCAGGGGTGCCACTGAGATGTGGAAGCCATTATGGCTCCCGACCCTTTCTGTTTGATTTGTTCCCCAAGTCCCCAACCTGTAGAATCTTTTCTTTCCGGTACGAGGAAATTTCATGACGGTACGTCTAGACGTGGTTCTGTTTTTATCCATCTTTCTGAGGTCTCAGTGAGTAGACCTTTTAACTCTGCAAAATCAGGTATTTGTCTGAAAGTGAATTTCTTTTTTTATTAATATTTTTTAAATTAAAGGAGACGTAGGAAGTAAATTTCTTGAATTATTTCTTTG